GCTTTTGAGCCTATACAGCTTGGAGTAAGACAACATGCATGAAGAGGATGATGTGGACAAAATACTCATTTGCCTAATAATTCTGCACTCCCTGTATTCTTGGGCAAGATACTAACCTTAAATTGCTCTCCGATGCATCCATCGGAGTATGAATGTGGGTGCGAATGTTAGTTAGAAAGCACTAAGAAAATGTGCTTGCGTGAATGCGTGTGAATGCACAAGTTGTGTAAAGCGCTTTGAGTGCGCAGAAGAGTAGAAAAGCACTATAAAAGAACCAGTCCATTTACCATCTTTCTAATTTGTGGCTTTTTCAGTCTGTTATTTCTGATATGTTCATCTTTAATTTCCCTCTCTTTTCCCTCTCTTTTCACCGACTACACTAACTTTGTGGCTCCCCTACAGTCACAAGCGATTCTCATTGCTGGTCCCAAGACACCAGATCACTGGTTGCTTACATTCAGTGAGCATCCCATATCAAACTTCCCTTCAACACCCCTTCAACAGCTGGAATAAAAACCAACGTACCTGTGGCGTTGAATTCTTTCACATTTGCAGCTGCTGATTGCACAATTGCAAGCATTTGGTTTTGGTTAGGTTTTCTGGCTCTGAATGTAAGATTTGTTAATTTGATGGTTTATCACAGTTAATCGCTACCAGACAAAGAGACTTCAAAATGATCACCAGAGTGATTCTATTTCAGAAACATAAACAGGTAAAAACAGAGGCTTCAGTCCTGACAGTTCATCACTGCTTTTGCTACTTGTTCAGGTTCTGGCCGCTGGGCTGGGGTTGGCATGCACTCAACTATAAAATCACTCGGGGTCCTTGGCTAGCTTTCTGTTAGCATGCTGTCTGTGCAGATACTTGCAAAGACCTGCAGTTGTGTTAGCATTAATCAGGTAGTTCTCTTTTAAACATTCGTTAGCTGTCTCGCCATTCCAAGCCAGCTATACCAAGCTTCCCTAACATGGCAGACTGCTGCCCAGCTGCCCAGAATTCCACCCCCGCGGTAGGAAAATCTCAGGTTCAGATACACATGACGCTTGTGTGATGTGCAACACGCCTAAGCGGCTGTTTCCAAACCGGGTTCATGCGAACACTGCACTCGCTTTACCCTGAAAAGCCTTTGTCAAAGGCTAGCCCACCAGGCTAGCCTGTCGAAGAAGAACTCAATGCTGTCTCCAGTCGTTGCACCAATGGAGCACATTGAGTCGGCCACGCAAGGCACCAGGACATTGTCCTCCTGCTGGTGGACAATGCCGAGGTCAGCTGCGAAAGCTATGTTGTCCTTTTCCCCCAAGGCTAACAATGAGCCACACCGTGAATTCTCTAAGGGAGCATCAGAACATCTCATTTCGGACAAGGATGATAACATTTTCTTTGGCCCCTCTCGTTGGAATTCTGCAACACAAGGGGCCGATTGTGAGAACCTTTGCACACAGTCCCGTGGCATGGAGCTAAATAGCTCCATGCCGCGGGACTTTTACAACGTTAAATAACGTTGTAAAACTGGAAGCTGAAAAGCTGGCAATCCCATGGCCCACTCCACCATTTTCTTCCTCCAAACACGAACTGAAATCAGTTGATTGCAACAGAAGGAAAAAAAAACATATTTGCCTGATGTTTAATTTTCTTTCTATCCCCTACGTGTGCACATAACTGAAGAACCCTTGCAATGCAAATTATAATGTGATTACAGTAACGTAATCCCTTGTAATGCATTAATCCCAACACTGGCTGCATTATCTCAAACATTTAACTAATTTCCAACTTGACGCTAATTTGAAACGTAATGAAACATCATAACTTATAAGTACCAGGGAAAGTTTACCCAAAGTTTTTAACGGGGCAGAAATTTGATATCCTAGTGGCAAACTTTAAAATACATAAGCCGATAAAGCATCGTTGAAACAACTGCTCTTAGCTGGTATTTCAGGCCAAATAACTCTCTGTCTGATTTAGATTAATCTCACACTCCGATGCTATCTTCAAAAAGAAACACCTGATCAATATCCCACTTTCCTGCTGCAACAGTGCACCATCTCACTCTGGCTCCCGAGCACATAAAAGAGTCATTAAGATGCCAAAAATATTTGTCACACTGTAATGCAGGCTAATCATAAACAGATGGGAGAAGAGCGTGGGGATTTTTTTGTATGAACGATCAGAAATGTTTCATACTTTGTGTTTGTGTCATAACTTGGCATACATTAGCCAAATTAATCTACACACTTACATGTGTGCTAAATACTACTACTAAAAGGTTTTTTAGATGTGTAGAAGGCACAATGTGTGGATGTTAAAGAGAATTTTTAAGTCTTATTTTTATAGTTTTGCCCATCCTTCTTATCAGTTGTTATAACACTGTAGCCACTAAGTTTATTGTTGATATCTCCACCTTTACAGCTTTGCTAATCTTTGTCGAAATCCTCTAAACAACTCCATTGGAATCATATCAAACTGCCGGTAACAATGTAGCTTTGTTCCCAGATCTCAGCTTTTACTTAAGTATATTGTTGTTTTGTTACAAATAAAGGTTCTTTCAGACAGTGAATGATTACTGCTGGAATCAGCAGGATGCAACTTTGGCACAGGAACTCCTGGCTACTTCCTGTCCTACGAGCCTATAAAACACAGACTGCTGCTGTCAAACTACTGCTCTGCATGCTGTTAAACAGAGCAGGTTATAGTGTGGAATAGAGGAATTAAGCATAGAGATATAATTAATATATGCCTTGCCTACTGTTGTAAAATAATGAACCTTGTTTATAGATCCAGATGAGTAACAGTAACAGACTTGATCCTGATATTGCAAGCCTCTGTTATTGATCTGTCTGGCCTCTGCTGGCAAAGTTTTTATCATTCATTGAACCTCAGATACAGTAAAATTTCTCCAGGAGGTCAGAGACAAGATTATGGATCTCCAGCTGCATTGTTGTAAAGAGTGAGAGAGAGAAGCTGAAAAAGTTTAGCTGTGAGGAGCACAGTTGTGGTAGAAATATCCATAGTAAAAACAATGGAAGCACAGGAAACTGTGCGATAGGATCAGGCCAGCAAAAATTGCAAAACTAATTCACTGAAATTAAGAAAGAGGTTAAACTAATGGAAGAGGAGATTTTTCTGCGTTCCCTACTAACCCAACTCCACTTTCAGCGTTTACTGTTCGAGTTCACTGAACAGACAGTGCACATGTTACTCATGTTGTGATTTATTTTCAGTATTGTATTGCTTCCAGGTTTATAAAGCCAGCTGCATTTCCAGTGCTCCTGTATTTTCTGGAATATCAAATGTATTTTATAGAATTACAATTTATTAAATTGATGAAATTTCATGGAAAATGACTGTCATGTCAATGATTTGATAAGTATGTGATGATAAGTGTAATTTTGTATTATTCGATTAGTAATTGTGGAATTCCACAATTACTAATTGTGGGACCAATAATATTTACATTATACATGTTTTCCTTAAGCAGTATTACTGAAAGGCACAGCATACATTTTCACTGGCATGCAGATGATACCCAGCTTTATCTATCCATGAATCCAGATGACACACACCAATTAGCTAAACAGAAGGAATGTCTTATATACATAAAAACATAAAAAATTAGAAACATCCTGTCTCAGAGTGATGCTGAAAACTAGTTCATGCATTTATCACATCTAGGCTGAACTGCTGTAATTCATTATTATTATTATTATTATTATTATTATTGTTGTTGTTGTTGTTGTTGTTGTTGTTGTTGTCTTTAAAGTGTCCTATAAAGCATTCAGTTCCAAATTGCAGCAGTGAGAGTACTGACACGGACTAGAAAGAGAGAGCATATTTCTCCCATATTAGCCTCTCTTCATCAGCTACCTATTAAATCAAGAATCAAATTTAAAATCAATCTAGTCTGGGAGTCATTTCTCTATTATTATAGGGTTTTTACCTTCCAATATAAAGCTCCTTGAGGTGTAAGGATTTGGCACTGTATAAATAAAAATTGAACTGCATTGAGTTGAATGTCAAACTATTGACTGGTGCTCACATGGTTTTATTTTATTTTTTTACTGTCCTTGGATGACCAAAAAGCTATGATCCACCCATAATACACCTGGTCATAATAAAAACTCATTCATGGGAGGTCAGAGACAAGATTATGGATCACTTTCAGGTCCTGGTTGAAGTTCAAAAAAAAATTCCACTGTTAACAACAGTATTTCTTATTGCAATAAATGTGTATGCACGTGATCATGTTCTATACCTTGCAGGAGCATACAGCACAGCGATCAAAGCTGGGTTTCCAATCTTCTCCATTGCGTCTCATTCCTTCTTCCTGTGGGCAGTCACCACTGCAGCCTGGACCAGATGTGCACACACAGTCATAGCCTCCTGGGAGGTTCACACACACACTGTCATTCCAGCAGGTGTGTGTCTGCAAACTGCACTCGTCAATGTCTGGAAAACAGAGAGTAATCCATAGTAAATAAATGACGGTCTTCTGTTTAAAGTTAGTTCTGTAAATGTAATTGTGTGACTAACAGTAAGGGTCAATAAAAGATCAATGGAAGAGAAAGAAACTGAGATCATTAAGTCATAAAACCAGTTAGGGACGGGGTGTGTTTGACTGAATTTACCAACGTCAGACGTTTTTGTTCGTGTTTCACTTTGCAAGGATGGACCTCATCACACCACAGATCTAAATATGACAATGTTTGTGAGAAGGCGCAACAGTTTGGATAATGAAACCAGTGAAGTTCCCAATACACAAATGCCACCACCTCATTCATTTATTATATTTATTTCTCTGAAAGTGCAATTAAAGGCAGTTCTCTGTCTGAACTCTCAACGGTAATGATAATGAGGTAAACTTGATCTAAAATCACAGGGATTATCTTGTTGATAAATCTGATTTCAAAGTATGCTAGTATTTACAGGTCTTCCATTCTTATTCAGTGAATATCCAAGTTTTTCCCCCCCCTCACACATGAATCTTTATATTTCTGATTCTCTTTATTTTAGACTATCACACTCCTCTCGTGGGATGGTGTAATATTCCTTTTTCTTTGACTTTTCTAACAGGACCATCTGCATACAAAAACAATATTATTTTGCTCTCTAATTATTTTTAAGATATATGACAAAGGGCATATTTTGCTTCTAATCAAAATGCACTGTGCAAACTCTACTACTTTGCTTGTCTAAATTATAAATTTGCAGCCTTTCTTCATGCCTGACACCTGTTAGTAGAAGCACGAGTACAAATTAATTATAATGAATGGATTATGTTCAAGATTAACCTTTTCCCCCCCCCGAAGAACAATCGTGTTCTTTTATCCGGTCCTTGATACCAAATGAAGCACATGTATTACAACACAAAATGCACTATTTTGCACATCTACACATGGGAATGTTTACCGTGTGGGGGATGTGGTGTACATGCACGCTCGATTTTTTCCCCCGCACATTATTGTGGATTCTGGAAAATATCTAATGTGACATTTATGATGTTTACAAATCTTTATTTTAACTCCCAAGTGCAGTCACTCCATCAAATTACAGCATTTAGTTATTTTAGTGGCAGCAACTGAATTGACAAGTTGCTGGCATCAGGCAGATTATACTTTGCATACATACTGGAATCATAGCTTTAGCCACTTCGTTTATATTCTCTTAGCCGATTTAGCCGAATCATCAAAGGATCTGCTCAGTCAGCTTCTTTCCCACTTTTACCCACTAGAGATCAAACAAACTAATCATAACAGAGAGAGCGGATGGCATTTTTCTCTGCTTTTCTTTATCAGCATGGCACAGGAAGGAAGGTCTGCCCATAACTATTACCAAGCCCTATAATTTAACTCACTTTATGCCCACTAAATGTGAAGTAATCGGAGAAAAAAGGAAAAAAACAATTTTCTTTTAACAGCAGTTTGTTTTTTTCCTCTTCCCTGCTAGCGCCTGCTGCCTGAAGTCATCAATCACATTCATTCGGTACTGGCCGCATGCTAGCAGTGTTACATGAACAAATTGCAAAAGCAGAAAAAAAAAATTGAAACTACATTATAAATAGTTAAATTCCTGATTTACTATATACTGAAGCATTGTACTCCCACTGGGAGGAAAATAGTCAACAGGTCAATTTACATTCGACTCAGGGTGAGTGATGACCGTCAGCACGGTTAAGAAGACTGATTTCCACATCACCATGTTTCCTTGCTGATTCTTACTGTTCACATTTCCATCAGATGATTTTTGGACATGCCAGACTGAGCTCTGCATGATAACACTGCCTCAGCTTTGTTTTTTAATTTGTATACAGTACTGTGAAAAGTACTTGCCCCTTTGCTAATCTTATTTTTTTTATTGTTTTGTTATCTTTTGTCACCTGTGTAGGTTTCAGATCATTAAACGTATTGTAATATTAGACAAAGATAACACAGGTAAACACAAAAAACAGTTTTTAAATGATTATTTTATTTTTTGAGAGAAAAAAGCTATCCAAACATACCTGGAACCTATCTGAAAACAAAAGCCACAAGAAAGAGACTGGGCAAAAACGGCACCCCTGGGAGAGTAAAAACCACTGCTGACCAAAAAGAGCACAAAAGCTTGTCTCCTATTTGCTAAAAAAAAAAAAAAACACACCTTGATTCCCAAATACTAGTTCCAAATAAAGGTTTTTGGAACTTTTTGTAAAGTTTGGCTCCTGTCACATCTGGCATAAACTAACAACTAACACATCTTTAGAGTGGGGTACTCCGGCCTCAAATCCAATTGATGCATCAGTGGTGTTATCATACACAACATCCAACATTTCCCTATGTGACAGCTAGGGCTCAGAAGGTAGAGCAGGTTGTCTACCAATTGGAAGGGCAGCAATTTGAACTTCAGTGTCCTTGAGTGAGATCCCAAACCCCAAATTGTGCCTGAATGTGATAATCAGAAAATACTTAAAGGCATAGACCAAAGTACTGTATGAATGCGGCTTGTAGTAAAAAAGTGGTTTAAATGCTCAACTACAGTAGAACAAACATTTCTATAAGTACCAGTCCACTTAATGTACAAATTCTTACATCTTACTTGCTTTACTTTAACTATTTTCTGGTCTATAAAACCATTTTTTTTGTTCTGTCTCAATAGTAACCATCTGACTATGACTTTTCCTCACAAAAAGAAAGGTGGTTTCTATTCCATATCCAGAACTGTGTGCTTGAGATGACCACCATAGCAATATTTGCCCCCACTGACATCACAAGAGTAGAAAAAACTGTGTAAAACTAAGCATTTAGAAAATCTCAAGTTTTTCTTTTGCTTCATAGGAATTACATGTACAGAAAATGTAAGAAAGAAAATGTCGCCACGTGAATATTTCACGTGGCTCAATAGAGCCATGTCTTAATGAGGCCTTTAACTATTCCCATTTCCCCCAAATCAATAACAGACATGGTTCAAAAAAGAAGGCATGTGCACAGTTTTAGACATGTCTTTAATAACAAGAATGGGGAGTTTTTAAAGCACAGATATTAAGAAGCTGACTGCAGTAAAGATCCCTTTATTGAGCTATAGCTTTGTGCATACTCTCAAAAGTACAGTTAGATGGTAAAGTGTCTCTCTCTCTCTCCTTGCCTACAAATGGTCCTAAGCCAGGTTCTGCCAGAGGTTTCTTCCTTTTAAAAGGGAGTTTTTCCTTCCCACTGTTTGCAAGGGCTTGCTCATAGGGGATTTTCTGATTGTTGGGGTTTTTCTGTATTATTGTAAGGTTTTTACTTTACAGTATAATGCACCTTGAGGCAACTGTTGCTGTAATTTGGCATTGTATAAATAAAATTACATTGAATTGAATTGAAAAGGTGTTTGTAGTGAGTGCCAGAGTGCATCTTAAATAACACAGCTGATCAGGGGCAGCTGTAAAGTTTGTACTGCTTTATGAATTGTGAGTGAAAAACACAGCCAAACAAATGTAAGGCGATTTATTGCTACCTCAATCAGTGCTTACAAGCTAATATTAACTTGCTATAAGAGTGTAATGTTATCAAAGGACACACTAAAGCAACAGAAACACATGACTTGTACCTTTGGAGTGTTACACTGACATTTTTAGCACCTCTGGCACAAGTTGCTCAGACTGTTAACACCATGCAACATATATTTATGTTACTGCTGGTGGAAAATGATGAGTGGTACCCAGCGGGCAGACCTGCTTTGTGTGGATACATGAATCTTCGCCAGTGCCTGTTGCCAAATCATCCCCAACAATGGTGACACTGCTTAATGTATAGCGCTCTAATTGGTTGCAGTATCAAGTTTGCACGATACAGAGAGATAGAGATCAGGAAGCGGCGCAGTCGGGAATTTATTGTGCCAGCAACAGACTATTTGCATACGCTAAATGAAATCCCCATCAGCCAGTCAGACACACTGTACCTCTGCTGGTGGAGGATTAATGCTCTTCATGCTACATTCGCCACATTCAGCCACAAGCTGCTGCTCACAGATGAAGCCTGCTCTCACATGTGGCCTACGAAAGACGACTAAATACAAAAAGCCCTTTAGAGTAACCATCTGAGCACAGCCAATCACATGTAGAACTTACACTCGCAGTTAAATGTGCTGTTACACATGAAAGCACTAATCCTGTGTATGTACATGATAACACACATTTACAACAAGCGTACAAATTACTAAATCCCACTGACAGATGCTGGTAATTATAGAGCATCTGAAAGCTTGGGTATTTTAGTATTTACACTATTTTTCTTTGGTATGTCTCCAGGCAGTCCATATGGAAAAGGTCACGTACACCACAGAGAGAGGGAAAATGATGCAGAAACCCTGTCTTGCAGGGAGACAGTGCGAGTTTATGCGGTATTATCCTCATCTTTATTCACAATCTGTTTATTAAAGCCACCTGTCTCCCCCTAAAGCATTAGGCGTAATGAACGACTGTCAAAACGCAGCCCATGCAGCTTTCAGTCACAGCCTCACCACAGCAGAGTTGCGTGGCACAATGCAACACTATACAGTGTTTTGCCTGGGGCATCGCGACGTGGTGTAGCCAAGCCAACACACAGAACTAAGAATGCAGTGAAATCTATCGTGAGAAAACACAATATGACACAGAGAGGAAGGCAGACTATGCAGATGTGTTTGAAGCGCCTGTGTGACAGCTGATTAATGGCCCTCTCACACCCAAACTGAGGCAGAGTGCACTTAGTGGCTTCACAAATAAAACACTCTTGTAGATCCATGTGTCACACAGCAGGATGCCCTCAGAGCAGCTGAGTCATTTGCTCTACGTTCAAAAACAGAAATTAATGCCAACGTTACAACAAAACACTTATTTATAAAAATAAAAAAAGTGACACGTCCTTTTCATACAAGCCATTTTCACAGGGCACACATCCACAAACACTGTATGATTCCCTAATTTCCTTTTTTGCCAAAACACAGAATATTTCCGACTGATTACCACTTGAGTTATTTTTGCCACCACATAACCGTAGAATATCAGAATTAGCACAGGTCCACCGCTGGCGACCTGTGTTTCTCACAGATGAGAGCAGGTTCACCCTGAGCACATGTGACAGACATGAAAGGGTTGCACCATTTTTTCCATCAAACAATGTAGCATCCTTTTGTTCCTATCACATTACTCAATCCATGTCAGTTTAGATATCATGAGTGTTTGTTCCCCCCATTGAGCTCTGAAGTGTTTTCCAAGAGTTCCATTTTTCTGAGTCCTACTCCCACCTCCTTAACCCAATATCAGTAAAAGGACAGGATTTGGCATTTTATGCATAGATCTCAGTGGCTAGTGAAAAGAAAAACAAAAAACAAGTGAATGAGAAGCTATCCACATAAAAGCAGTTCTGTGTACGAAAATATGAGAGCAATCATATCTCATAGATTTTCATTTAAGGAGGGTGCTGGTTCATCAAAAGTCTTTGAAGTTTTCCATCTCCACACTGTTGCTCCCACAAACCTTTATTGTTAATCTGTGGGATATTCTGTAAAAAAATAATGACGAGGAGTAACTTGCACAGGGTGAAACACCCTGTGCGGTGGTGACATGCTCTTGGCAAACACAGAGCCAACGACGTGGTTAACTGACTAGTACTGCTGCTCCCTGCTTCGAGCTAACTTTCTTATTACAAAATGCTACTTTATGTTCGGTTGACTCATGAAGGGCTGTTGGAGGGATATTGTGGAAGGGGGAAAATCCTGTTAAAATGTCATTTGTACTTATTTCCCCTGCCGGCTTCCAGCCTAATACTGTAAATTGGGCGGAGAAAAGGTGGCGGATATACTATCTCTCCAACATGCACTCAAATGCATCCGACATGTACCATCCACATTTATGAAGCCTAGAGAGCAACACAAGTGCTTTCACTAATCACACCACTGCATACACCAAATTCCCAGTCATAAAGCCTCAGAACACAAGAAAGTTAACATCCAGTTAGACTTGCTTGAAGACTCATGACTGAATGTGCACATCAGAGTAACTAAAGACCATTAGATGAAGGTAATCAACCATATTTATGCATCTTATTATCATAAAGACATCTCATTACACAGTGTTTTCTTGTTGTGCCACTAGACACTTGATCAAATAAGTACTACTTACAAGAAAGTACAAGAAGTACAAGAAAAATTATGACACCAAAAAAAGCAGTGCACTTAGGGAAGGAGCTTTGTGGAATGTGTTGAAATTAAGAATCAGAGTGGAGAAGTGGATTATATTGCAAGAAGGATTTTCTACAGCAGTTCCTGATGCTTTATTCACAACAACCATCACGACCACAGCAGCTGATGTAAGCTCTCTGCAGCTGCCAATATCCACGTAGAACCAAGCCACCATCATTTCAGAGCTGCAAGATTATATGGGCTGTATTTTTGATAGCAAGCAGATAGCTGTAGTCATTTTTTCCTTTAATATTACCACTGAGGGAAATAACACTTTCACTCCACTGTCTAAATACCTGGCAAAAGTATACAAAACTGCAAAAACCTGAAAAACTGGATTTGAGATATTTCAAGTTTTTATTTGTATTTTGGAGACCAACATAAATGATATTTGTAGTAGGTGGTTGTGCTGACCTGTAAGTCACTGTGCATGAAACGATTTAATCACTAATTGAATGAGCAAATATGACATCATAATGGCAAAACATTTGTAGTGTGGCAATATGAGGTGGGTGTTCAGTCTGTGTGTTAATGTGATGCAAAGCTGTTGTTGGTTAAAGTCTGACATTTCTGGTACATCTCTCTTATCGCTTTCCTTCAGAACTGAGTTGAAGTGAAACTCACTCTCTTGGAAGAGAATCTACTGAAATCGTGCCTCTCTTCTTCAAGTAAATAAATCAAACCAGACTGCTGATGTTGCAATATGATTTAAAGGTTAAATCAAGGCAAAAGCATTTCACTCAGCCAAACGATCCTGTTCGCTACACCTATTACACTCTGCAATGGTGCATGGGCAAAAAAAAAAAAGCAAAGCAATGGCTTGAATTTCTTGAGAATTTTTTATCTGAGCTTCTGTTCTTGTAAAGGAAGAATGTGGGAAATAAACATAAAATGAGGCACTGATGTCACAGGATCGGGAATCAGCGAGCAGCTACTGTTTACTCAAGTTCTGTTGCTATTAACAAATGTGATCTTAATCAAATTAAACATTAGCTACATTATATTGCCAAAAGTCTTCAGTCAGTCATCCAAATCATTGAATTTATGTGTTCCAGTCCCTTCCATGGGCACAGGTGTATAAAATTAAGCAACTAGGCATGCAGACTGCTTCTAAAAACATGTGTGAAAGAATTGGTCCCTCACAATTCCAGTGTGGTATTGTGATAGGATGCCTCATCTGATAGATGAGGTACTTATCTGACTGCACTGTGTAAAATCTAAAGTTTGGTGATGGGGGGGGGGGGGGATTGTGGTAGGTTTCTTTTTTAAGTAGTTGTTCTCAGCCCCTCCCAGTGAAAAGAACTCTTAATGCTTCAGCATACCAAGATATTTTTGACAACATCCCCAAACAGGACAGTTTGGGGATGGCCCTGTCCTGTTCTAACATGTGCACAAAGGAAGCTCCATAAAGACACAGATGACCAAGTTTGGTGTGGAAGAACTTGACTGGCCTGCACAGAGTCCTGTCCTCAACCCAACAGAAAACCTTTGGGATAAATTAAAGCAGAGACTGTGAGCCAGGCCTTCTCGTCCAACATCAGTGACTGACCTCATAAATCTGCTTCTGGAAGAACGGTCAAAAATTCCCATAAAGACACTCCTAAACCTCCTAAACCCTATGGATTAAGAATGGAATGTCAGTCAAGTCATATACATATGAAGGCAGATGAGCAAATACTTTTGGCAATGTAGTGTAAATCTGCTAAACACTAGCTCAAAGCAACCTTCTACATGAAATAGCCTCACAGTAACCTATGTAACCAAAGTGTGAGTCACACCCGACCACTCAAAATTTAGGAATAATAAACTTTTGTTTTTGTTCAGCCATGGGAAAAGCAAATAGCACAAAAAAAATGCCAATACTGTTCCTTGTTATTGGCTGGCGAAATTCCCCCAACACAAAAACTATAACAATGGCACAAGGCCGACATGTGTTCCCATGAATAGCTTACACCAAGCGGTCGGATCTCGAGCTCTAAAGGTGACAAGACCTTTAATTAGACTGGTTGTCCCACAGAGGGCATGTTAAATCAAACACAAATGTGCTAAACCAATACACAACATCGCATTCTGTGCTTAGGTTTAGAGATGGAAGCTAGACAGTAACAGTATAATTAGACAGAGAAAAAGAGACGAGTCTACAGCTGCTAGGTGGCGGGCACACAGAAGCTGAGGAGGTGATGTTTCCAGTAGTGATAAGTTTCAATTCAGTGTATGCTCACCGATGCAGGAGCTCCCGTCGAGCAGGTAGGATCCATTGTCATGGAAACCACTTCTGCATTCACAGTGGTACCAGCCAGGCAGGTTGACACAGCGGGAGTGGTTGTGGCACTCAATCAGGCCCTCTGAACACTCGTCAATATCTGAGGACACGAACACACGCAGCAACATCACTGTCAGTCAAAACATTTTCCTGGCAACAAGCGCAAACCTGAAACTTCAGCTCATTTTGTGTCATTTGATGTTCTGCCTGTTCTTTGATCTGCAGCGGTTCAGCCAATCAGAACAAAACCACTGCCGCGACAGCAGAGCTGGGTCAGCGGATGCCCACATTAGACAGCCAAACACATCTCCAGCTTGTCTGCCGCAGCAGGGATCAAAGTCTCTTAGAAATCACACCATTTGGCTGCAGAGTTGTTTCCAGTAGCGCACTTTTTTCCCCCCCTTTCTATTTCTTCTCCTTGCTCATTCACACTTTGTCTCTGGTGTGCAGCATGCATACAGAGGCTCACCCCAGAGGTGTTAGGTCTTTGCACCTTCCTGGGAGAGTACATCTCTCTGATCCATTATTTATGGTGTGAGCACTGCACTGTAAAAATTAACAACCTAAATATCTTCCCAAGTCCAGCAGTGATATACAGTTGACTCGAGGAGGTACACACTATGTGACAACTCAAATGATTTACCAGTACATGACGATAATTACAGTTGGCAATATTTCTTGAAAAAAGAGAAACATATCTTTAGAAAAGAACCTGAGGCCCTGCGTGTGGGGGAGCCGGGGACTGAGCAGCAGCTCTACTTCCTTAGCAACCGCTGCGTCACCTACATGTGCAAGTAAACTGAGTGAAAATGCTGGGGATCCAAAACTAAGTTGCCTGTGTAGTGCATGTGTCAGAAAAGTGGCTTGCAATAGAAGTAAGTGGCAAATATACAGTGCTTCATCTTGCAGCTCTTGCTTGACTGTAAACTTGGATTTTGTTTCTTGCATGTCAATGTATCAGTGCAGCTCCATGCATGACTTGTTGGTGTAGGGTAATATGATCAAAATAAGTCAATAGCCACACTTTCTGAAATCTGCTGGGCTTTGTCTTGTTCAGCCTGATAGTGTTGCAGATTAAGCCTGTGATTAAGGGGAAGCGCAAAGTGCAAACAGTTTTGCTCCATATAAGAGTGCCAGTGACAGGGCAGGGCAATCCATTGTTCATGTATGTGCTAAAACCGAGATACAGCAATTTTGTCATATTTTAAGCTTCTATAGAAATCATATTAACAAAGGTGTGTGAACCTTTTTAACAGGATGGCTTGGATGAAGAAATATCATGAAAAATATTGTGTTCAATTTGTTAGGCCTCCAGATCGTTCCATAATACATTGCACCAATCAGGCATACCATTATGACCACTGACGGGAACTGAATAACTAATTATCTCTTGGCTGCTTTTAGTGGGTGGGATATTTTAGGGATCACGTAAACATTTAGTCCTCAGAGTTGATGTGTTAGAACCAGGAAAAATGGGCATGTGTAAGGATTCGAGTGAGTTTGACTAGGGAAAAATTGTAATGTTTAGCCAAATTGTAGATGGCTAAACTGCAGCTCTTGTCGGAATGTTGCCATCTGCAGTGGATCTATCTGCCTGACACAGTTACACTGTGAAGTGACATCTATGATGATTTTTGTTATAGCATCGTTGACTTCAGTATGCTGAAATGCCACCAATCCCACCGTGCTTAAGGTTAATAGTTAACATGCTGTAACAAGAAAAACGGTATTAAAAAAAATTGATTTGGTATTTGAACAACGGTCATGTTTGCACTGCTCCAGCCCTGTTGTGAAAGTACACACCTTGCCCAGGACTTTAAACCACACACATATTTACTGGTGTATAAACACAAGGAGAGCTCAACACTGTAGCCTGATGCACTGTAGGTAATAAGACGTGACAGCTGCTGGGAGGGTTGCCCTCTGCCCGCCTCTCAGGTCAAAGATCTGGTCAAAGTTACACCAAAAGATTCCCTCTCTGACATCTCACTTAAACAACCCAATATTAGAAGTGACTGGTGGCTGAGAGAAGCAGACTCCTCCAAAGAAAGAGCAGCACTGTGCAAGTACACGAGGGGGCATATGTTCAATGACTGTGTGTTGTCAAAACTAGGTAACTGCTTCATAATTATGCACATTGTTTTTGGATCCACAGGGGAATTTTTAAAAGAATGTTGTAACCCATATCAACTACTCCCTGTCACATGACCCACGTCAGCTGATTTGAGGTCCCTCTTCTGATTGGCTCCTTTCACGTCGCGGCAACTCTGAAAACCGGCTGTGGAGGGATACTTCCGGGTTCGACTCCTGCTGTGGCTGTGAGCTTATGGCATTTAGAGCGGTATTGGAAAACAAAGCGTTTTCTCTCCTCAATTCATCTTTAAACTTTAAACTCAGCGGTCAGGTTTTTTTCCCCCTTTGAATTTGATCTTCTTCATATTGAAGTGGCGAGCCGGTAGGACCATCCTTTGTTTTCCCCTCTTTTCCCCCACTTAGCCGTCTTTGGATTACGGACATATTTCCCCCTTGTATGAAGCTGGACCCTAAGGAGGAATACCTTAAAAGTGAACTTTAAAAAGAAAAGGACCAAAAAAAGGACTCTTAGCAAAAGGACTCTTGCACAGAAAAATCACAGCACTGATTTATTATTTAATTGTGGACATTTACGTTGTGTGTTGTGTTAATTATTTTGTTCCATTTCCCCTTTCCCCTATTTATTCAATATATTTTTGGTACAAGACATTGCAGTTTTTGGTCTCATCATTCACACCATCTAGGCTCCATAAAGAACTATTTCTTCTGCGCGTCAGTCAGTAAATTCATCCATTGCCATAAACTAGTCCTTTAAATAACTTAGCGTTACAATGTCATATTTTTATTTACTGTAGACAGATATAGTTTAAGACCTGGCTTTGGTTAGTCAGAGTATAATCATTTGTCCAGATTTGTATTGTTTCCATAAAAAGCCATAAAAAACAAAGTCCACGCAGAGCCACCCAAGCACTCAAATCATTTGTTTATACACACAGCCACACTGATTAAAACAGACAGTTAATTTTCAAATTAAAGGCCCTTGGAAAAAACACTGGAAAGAAAGTGTGAATTAGCATCACAGAAAGATTTGAAATCCATTGATGCTTAATACTCACATATATAGTTTAGAACTCAGTATTCTGTATCATTAATACTGGACCTCATGGAATAGCCTTTTTTGTTTTGCATCAGTAAACATGCTTATCTTCGTAATGGAAAAGGATTTGAAAAGATAATGCCCTCTATGAAAAATCTAGAGTACACAAATAACAGGCAAGAGTGCTGTCTGCTTTCTTAATAACAGTAATCCAGCATTGCTTACCAACATATTGCTCCATAATTGATGACAAAGGACGTATTCCAAAATGTCTTTCCACGCAACAAAAAATACTTCCGGTTACACTGTGAGTCATGTGAAGTCTTTTTTATTCTATCTTTGGCTAGAAATGCTCCCAATTCCCGTAGTTATTGTCTATTTAAATTTAAAAATGCATTTGAATAACAAAAAGCTCATTTTCTTCACAAGGTTACAAACAAATATGATACCTAACTGTGTTTTTTCATCTTGGTTTGGATCTTAGAAACATGTCAGTCTCAAACAGTATTATGCCACCTAGTTTGAATTTCTCTGCAGGGTAAGTATTTATACAGATATTGATTGTATGGTTTAAGAATGATGTATTTTAGGACAGCACAGCAACAACACAGACATGGTAACTGGGGGCCAGTCAGTTGAATTTTCATGACATTAGTCATCTTGTCCAGTACAAGCAATAAAGTCCTACATAGACATAGACAGAAAGAAAGTCCATATGGTGCAAGAAAAGTAGTTTGTACATCGTTAGGACATAGTTTGTACTTGAAATTTGGTAATGCAATGAATGCTTGTGAGTTACACATCAACAGTGACAGAAACTGCTTTAGTGGATGTTGTGGTTTGCTCTGTTCCCTGCACTTGATTTTATAATAAACACACTGTTTAGGTTATGTAATTATCATGGTTAAAAGAAACACCTTGAATCAGTGAATGCATCGCTGTCCAAAGTTGTTGACCTTCCCATCAACCCTCACCTCCTCCCAACATGGATTTTGTAAAGTATCATCTATGACGTTCACTGGCTATGGCTATAAAGTTTAAATTTAACTCAGTATTTCATTTGGAATCCAAAGTGCTGCAGCACACAGGGAGCACAGTCAGAAGTGACACAGAAGAAAGTGTCACTTCTGACTGTGCTGCATCAGTGAGCTATGCACTGAATAGGTCAGTGATTTTCAATGGGCAGACCACAATCTGGTAGTGGTCGTTGCAGGCTACAGGGCAAAGATGTTATTTGACAAAAGCTGACATCAGTTGCTAGAAGAGGAAGAAAAGTCTGAAAAAGTTTCTTAAATATTCTGCACTGATAGCAATGTTGCTAGGAGAAATGATGGTATGCGAAAGAGTGCAAATAAGCAGATTCTTTAAAGGCTGACTGATTGCTTTGGTACAGTATGCAGTGTAGTTTGGACACTAAAGCAATACTCGTCATCCATCTATTCTATTCACAGATCAGCCACAACAACAAACCACCTGCACTGTATAGTGGAGCGATCCCATTTATGTCACCAAAGCAGCCCAGATACATTAGATTGTCTTGTAGTTTCTAGCACTGGAGCACTGGGAGAGAATCCATCAGGTCATGTGGGTTGACTTGTAATTGCAATGTGTCAGGGTGCAATATCCTGCTTCTTGGTAAGTTGGCAAATATGCATATCAATGTCAAGACCCAAGGTTTTCCAGTAGAATAAAATACAGAAAAAATAAAAGAAGATGACAAAAACCTCACATTGTTATCAGTAGGGACAAATATTTCTAGTTTTAAAAGTCTCTTCAAGAGGTTATCTACACTGGGCTTTCTCTCTGAGAAGAGCAGAGTCAGATTTCGTATTACATGCACAACGGTGCTGATTTGATCAAGGTCAAATCACATGCTCTCAACTCCTAATTGAGGTATTGTGCAAGAACAAAGGCACTGATCACAATCTGCTTCAGTTACATGACAAAGTCAGAGTCGGGATAAATGGCCA